TATATATATATATATATATATATATATATATATATATATATATATATATATATATATATATACACTCTAACGGAACATGATATCATTCGAATATTCCATTCACATACTATAATCGTACATAATATATTGAGAATATTTGTATAATATCTTTATAGTATATTATTTTTATATATTTTCAGGATATATTTAGAATATAGAAATATACTTTCATTCTTATACTCAATGTACTGCAATTATATGTAATATACTGAGAATATTTCTCTATAATATCCTTCGGAACCAAAAACCAAATGGAAATCGATATTTTTTATCGGAATCGTAAACCGTACCGAAACTTTATAAAGCCTATAAAACCGGAAGAACCGTAAAGAACTATAATTTAAATTGTACCGGTACTTTCATTGTCCAGAAAACAAAAACTGAAACAAAAACCTTTATTAAATATTTTACAGTTCCGGCATAAGTTAATGGATTACGGCCATAATAAACGAGCCTTAACGCCATCATATGGCTACATACATATGTAACATCATCGGTTCCGATCCCGATCTCTTTCTGTTTGTTTCATGGACGACGCAAGATGCAAGAAAACGAGCGTGATTTTCATCTAAAGTAATCCAGCTTTTTATTGAATATTGTTTGAAATAGCCTCAAAAGAAATCGCAGATAATTGTAGAGAGAAACTTAAAATAAGTTATATAATTATAAGATATATTTGACAATTTATGATAACATATATAACGTATAAATTTGAGGTTATTCTTGCTTACGAAATTTATGTAGCAAATATAAAGCGTTTAATATTAAAAATATTCAAGCCGTTCTAATTTAACTGTATTATTATCTGTTTAATATAATTTGTATAATTGTGTATATAAGGTTCTATCTTTACTAAAACCGGTCAAGCTGATCGGCATACATGACTTCTTATTCTTTATTGAAATAAAAATGAAACCAGTATGCCAATCAATCTGATGGGCTTAAATGAAGACAGAGCCCAAGAGTTAAACTATTTTGGTAGTAAATCTTTATATTTACTATGCATCTGCCATAATGAAGAATAACTGTAAGTCCAAATTTTAAGCAGAATAATTTTGCATGTGTATATAATAAATTATGAAATATATTTAACAAATATATGTATAGGCTATTAATGTCTTGCATAATATTATGATCTTTATGTAATTTGGAGTACAGATAAGATACTTGTATGAGTTATTTTTTTATACTATTCAGACTTGCAGAAATTATATTAAGGAAATTATGCGAGGAGGAATGCGTTTGACCATGTTTAATTACCATTTGCAGTGACTATTTAGTAGAAAAACTGTAAGCATCGGTGCGATAGCATATATATTTTTACATCGGCTGGTGCTTAGGATCTTTCCGCTAGACCATCAATTAGAAAATAGTATATTAAATTAGCTATTTACCGATTTGAATTATCGGAATCGATTTATAAAAATTACATAGATATTTGTATATTACTTTGTTAAGAAATAATGAAGATATAATGAAAAAAATTTTTTTTTCCAAATGATGCGAAAGTTATACACTGATGCAACTAACAAAGGCATTACAGGCCCTATCAAAATATAGTTAGCTCATACCAAAGAGCGCATAGAGAGACAGAGCCATAAAGAAATTGAAGATACACATTAATATGTCTTTTAAGTTTTTGTTGTTCAATCACAAAAATGTTGTATATCACAAAAATATAATAATAACATTCTGTAGATATCCTTAGTATATATTACGGAATATTCTTAATATACAGGGTGTTCGGAAAGTACCGGGACGCCCGAATATCAGGAAAAATATAAGTTTTACAAAAAAATGTTTCAGACAAAAGTTGTGGCGTTTAAAAAGATGTATTTACTGATCACATCAGTTTGACCTTGGGTTGCGTAGCGAAGGTCAGGTCAAGGTCACATTAATTTTTTTAAATGGAA